GAACAACTGATTTTGAAATTTTGAATTTAAAGTTTCATTTTGCTGTTGTTAAARTCTCGTATATGGATCATTTCAACTTCAATTTTGGTCCCAAAACATTTTTAACAAAAGAGTTTGATACTAATTCTTTAATTAAACTAATTGGTTTTATAATAATTAGCAAATTGTCTTTTCATAATTTTCTATCGAGCAAGGYCGTCATTGGACTTCTGGGCAGTACCAGTYCTTGCACATCCATTGGTTACATGCATACCACTAGTAGCCCGTCCATAGTCCAGGATTTTGTTTGATATCTTGATACCTTTGATGCATCCAGTAAATCCAGTAGGTGGCGAAGAGATTGATGCTGAAATAATAAAAATAAATTATTAGCATTTAGACCCTGTMCTTCAAAGCTTRAAGGCTCAAAAAAAGCTGAATATCCCACTTTTCTTTSCAAGTTGTRCATGAACCTCGTTCAAAAATAGCTTGATCTGTTCATAATTTTTTGAACTGCAAGAAGTGGCAATAAACTACTTATAAAACACCCAATTGACAAGATTTTATTCGTTTTTCAATTCTTAATTTTCCTTTTGTGGAATGACGGGACTTTTTAATGGTACGCATGTAATTTATATTGCTTGTAATTGTTCTTTGATATCATCGTTTTAAACATCGTTATTTAACTACATTTTTCCCGGGGTTTGTCACATTRTTACCTGGCATMCCCCCTACATAGAGGTCTCCCATAAGCTTGGCATCCATGGCAACAGTTAGAGTGACAGATGAGGACTGGTCGACAGTAAGCTGTAGTTTGTTACCAGCCCCCTTAACCTGCACGGTATGCCATGTCATGTTGCARAAGAAATAAGAGGAAGACGCTGACCAAGTGACTTTGCGGGTAAATGCTGAAGCATTCTTGTACGTCATCACGAGCTATAAAAAAACACACATAAGTAATTATAGTAGAAGATGTTATTTTTCCTTGTTCTAATTTGTGGAGGTTTTTAGATATATACATTGTGCAATATAGAGTGATTTTTTAGTGATTTTTCGAAATATTCCTTTATTTTCYTACCTGCCCGTTGATTTGCTCCAGCCTTAGGTAGCTTTGATGGCCTGTAAAAATTGTTAAAAATSCCTATCATATTTACAAACAAACAAGATATATAAACAAACTCATGATCTGATGATCTGGCTACTAATACTTCTATAAGACAGACCGAACTGACTTATCAGAAAAAGTTTGCCACGGCAATAAATAGCGGTTTGTGAATTTTGCCTCAGTAGTCACACACAAAGGAATCGTGCATAAAGCTCAGATATTTGTGGAAAGACAATAGTTTTTCACCATTGAATGAGCTTTATGCACGGAGCCTCGTCATGATTCATTTGTGTTTGAGTGCTGAGACGAAAAATTCGCAAATCGGTTATTAAAGATGTCATGATCACGGACAACAGACTACTTGTTCACAGAAACTCGACTCGCGGATGGTGTTACAGAGAATATTAACTAGAGAAATTTARCTAAGTGACGTGGCTTTTTACACAGTGATACGAAATCTTCTATGTCATATCTTACCTTGTCTGGCATTGTTGTTAGTTAAATGAAATACAACTCCTTGACGCGATGAGGTCCTAAACTCCATCTGAATGTCCATCGTGCTTATGTTCAAGGAAACATTTCCTGGAAAAGGATTATGGTATGCGTATGTTTTAGAAATTTGTAAGATTTGCGCGCTTTACTGCTAAAAACCTTTTCAGGAAAAAAACATATCATCTAGTATCCGTCAAAGTGTATTTCGATGTTTTGGAAATGGTTAGAAACACAAACCATATATGTTCCCACAAAACGCAAAAGAGAGAAAGAGAAAAATATCGTCAAGAAATTGGAGTCAGATAACGAGGCTCACATGTATGCCGATATCACTTTCTCGAAAACCGTCTTTTTGAGTTTGAAATCAAAGATATCTTACGTAAAATCAAAGTTCAAAGTCCCACATGCATCCGAAAACCTTTGCGATCGTTTACTTTGTGTTTCAACTGATCCGTTTTTAAAAAATTACTTTCCAATTGCTCCTACGTCAAAGATGGCGATTTTTAGTATGTGAGAAAATCACGTAAGGGTTCTCCGGACGCATATACATGTGGGCTTTTAAAATTAAGCGTGAGAGATATGATGTTCTCAGTCTTACCAAACTTTGCCCACGACGTGTTGTTCAAACCGAAGCCCGCCACAGCGTTGCTCACACAGCTCTGTGTCTTATGGCTTACACTMGGCTTCGATAAATCTATCGTTCTTGGCAAAGAACCACTACTATGGTACTGGAATGAATGTATACAGCCACTAAAGCCACTGCGCTGGGTAACTCMTGGATGTAGTTTAACACCATTTGGTACTCCACCAAAGAAAAAAGCGCCAGTCAGGTTAAGTATRTCTCCATTGGTTGCATTTTTGATTTGGTAATTGTGGTATTCTTGGGTTTCATATATCAACATTGCTCCAAATTTGCCTTTCGAAACATATAAGCCACTTATCTGTGATGGAAATAAGTATTATCACATCAGATATATAGGTATTACGGACACACACGAATTTTAGCGAGCGCGTAGCGAACACAACCCAAATTCTTCCTTTCCATCTTTCCATCCTTTCCATCTTTTAGAAGGAGTCTTTATATCAATAGCACTTGCTTTCGTTCATTAAATTTACGTTTTAAATTTAACTCCACYCCTGTAAAAGTACAATTCAACGTCTGCGCGCAATTTGCAGCGTAAATTGGCTCAAAGCGTACTAAGTCTTACGCAAAGTTTKAACTCTAGTGCGGAAACACAACGAGAACGTAAGAGTGGTTTYATTTGGACACAACGCCCAGCATGACAAGCCCAAACATACGTCCTCATCACCTGAAATAGGCATAATCAGCTAACACGTTTTTGTTTACGTTACCACCCAATTCAAATCCTGCGTGAAAAAGAACTTTTGTTTCTAAGAATTCAACTGAGAAATGAAAATAAAACGAACGGTGAGATTTACTCCCAGGTGATTTAAATTGGATGGAAACGTTTATGGCAACACGTTGGCCTATTAAATTTATAGAAATCTTAAACCATAAAAATGGACTGTGTTTACCGTTAGAAACGAGCTAGTTCTTTGTGTATTGACATAGTCAAATTTAGTTGTCATGTGCACCATTCCAGGATTTCCATTAACTTGAAACTTCAATTTYCCATCGATTAGTTCCAGGGACATGAACTGACCGGGATGCGTAAGATTATTAGCAATGTAGAATACTAACCCATTGTACGATAGTGGTCTGAGTCGCAACGTCCAAAGAAAACTAGGACAGAAGACGACGACAGAGGAAAAATCACTGTAAGTACACATTTTAATAAGCCCTTTTAGCGATCTGTTTTACGCTGTGTTAGCCTCAAAACCATGTATTAAATTCTTTTATTCACAACAGCCCGTGCAAATGCAAGAGATCTGTGAGTATAGAAGACAATGGAAATAGTTTGAAATCTCACGAGTTTTATCTACATTTCTGAAATATTTTAGCACACAATGGCTAACACAGCGTAAAAGAGATCGCGAAACTCCACTATTGATATCGGCTGCACATATATTACATAACTTACTAATCTTCGAGTTGGACACCATTGGATATTTGAAGGTAGCCCTGTGATTCACCAGTGAAACCGCTAACAAACCCAACAGCTGATTTGTCGGTGGAGTATGCTATCGGACCTGCCCGGGCTGCGCATGTAGGTGGTGGTGGAGGAGGTGATCGACCTGGTAAAACACCTCCATTGATGACATTTTCCTTATCTTGAGAGAATAAATTGATGATCCTGAAAAATCAATGTACTTAATTTAACAGTCCTGGCACTGGTTGTCCAAAGCACGATTATTGTATATAATTAATCGAAGGTTAGATTAACGCTTAATCAAGCTTTGAACAACGAGTCCCTAAGTTTCTTCAAGGATGATGTTGAAGGCCCATTGTGCACCATTATGCTTTGGGGGCCGCGACGGCCGGGAGGTGGCCATTTTCAGTTCACCGAAAGTCTATAAATTAAATAAATAAACTCTTTTGTTTTGAGAGGATAGCACGTAATAGTCTCTAGACTAGTAAACTTGTGGCTCTCTATATATTCACTCACACTCACTACCTCAACATTCATTACTTTACTACACGACACTCGTCACAGCTAGTTTTTGACTCATGAGGGAGGAAAACCAGCGCCAGCGGACCTGGAGAAAAACCCTGAGAAAAGAAGAGGGGCGCAAAGCATAGTGGTGCAAAGTGGGCCTTTAACCATGGCAACCACCTTAACTATAGATGAACTACATATTTTAAGCAATTTGCTCATATTTTTAGGCAAAATAATAAGGAGGAATGCATCCTCCTAACTCTTACAAATTCTACAGTATTTGTATGGTGGTTGGCAGCCTTTTGCCCACCGCTGAATTTCAAAAATAGCTTTAAGCATGTTTCCAAAGCTATAAGCGTGCGTGTATGTACTCACATGTCATCGATCTTCACATTCTTCATTGCTCCTTGAAAACAATTAGTTACGACRGGTTTGAGGGGAATAGTTACATTTGGAGGTAAACCGCCCATGTATAGTGGATTGCTCAGATCGAATGGGATTTGACGACCGTTTCCAAACCATCCAGAATAGATTAGAGAGTTGTTTACATACAGAGAATACCTAAAAAAAATGAAAATACAATGCAACTATCATTCCGTAGGACGTAAGCACGTAATGAATAGGTATGTAAGTATACTTTGGAAACTTTGGAAACCCATAGCAACGACGGCGTAACTTTGGACTTCAATGCGCCCGATATACAGTGATCTTAGCAAATATTGTTGAGCTATCACCCATTGATACTTAATTTAAACAAAGATTCTATGTGAAATGGGGAGGCTTTAGTAATGTAAATTTATTTTAGAAAATATTGTCTCAAATTCACTTAAATATAGTAATTTCGAGCAATTTTCAGTGTCAATTGGGATTTGCGTAGCCACTAATAAGACCAAACATACCCTTTCGCAGAGCTGTTAATGTAAACTTCTCTCCATATGTTATCAGCAAAGGATATTCCACTGGTCATGTATGGTTTAGCCTCTTCATMGCTGCCGTTGCTCTCATGGTTCAGTATTTGCAGATTACCATGCCATAAAGCGATATACAGGATGACAGTCTTATTGCGAACCTATCAGATTAAACAATACGTGGGTATCAAAATATCTCAAAATTTTTAAAGGGCTTTGAGCAACCGTCATCCCTTACGAGCCTTAGGTTATGTTTTGAAAATAAAATATGCATCACAATATAAGCCGTATTCTGTATTATTCTATTTATGATGAATATCTAAATGAATATCTTGTTAAATCCCTTTTAAAACTAACGGGCTGAAACCGATTCTATTTCCCATGTATGAAATATCTAAAACACGACCGCAGTGAATACTGGTTGGTGATGGCACTGTCGTCCAACACTACTGATTTAAATTAAAGCAAAAGATCCCGTAGTGATCAAATGACCTATTATACCATATTTGGTCAAACTGACCAGAAGTTGATATKTTTTAGTTACAAAATGCCGGGCATGTTGGCCGTACCTGTCGTTAGTTGGTGAACCACTGACCTAACTGATTGCCGGAGAAGCTGACTGCTCGAAATACATCCGTAAATATAGCTTACCATAGTTTTGCTGTACAGCAAGAGCTCATTTTTCTTTAACGTCTTGAACATGAAGGACAAACTTGTAGCACTTGATTTTGTGTTGTTGACGGACACATATGAACACTTGTTTGTTCCTTTGGTGAATCCGTAGAATCTTGCTGCACCAGGRTCGACCTATTGATTCATATATGTTAAATGCATCACGTGATTTGATACCATGGGAGACTGGGTCTTATAATTGTCATGATGACCGGGGGAGACTGTGTCAGAAAAGGAAAGATTCAAGGCAATATACCTCTGAAGCTTTTACGTCATGTACCGTATATACAATGCAGTGTAGGACACTGGAAAAATATCGCGCACTTGGTTGTAAATTTGATCTAATTGTCCAAAATCATGTCAATATTACTTTATCAAATTTACATGATTTAGGATACCTACATGTTATTTACATCAAACTTTAAACCTTAAAAGTGCAATTTTTCAAGAGACAAAACATGGCGGGCAAAGCATTGTCTTCTCTTAAAAACTGATTCCACAATGCATTGAAAATCAAGTAGTTACGCAAAAGGTTCAGAAGTCTATTCAAGGGGGGAGAACTAATAATATTAATTTCAAACAACAATCAGTGGCGTACATCTACAGCAATGACTTCATTTGTGTAGACTCCATCGATATGTGAAGACTGCATAAATGACACTTGTTGGAGAGATTTCGCTCTTTCTGTGGACAGCTTAAAGTCTTTCATATCACCAATGAACGGAGCTGTTTCTTTCAGGCCATTCATGCTATAAGGGCAAACAAAATAAGAAAAAATAAAAAGGATTATGTGCAAATATCTGACACCCAGTAATGGCAACAATCATTTGCATTTAGCAAACTGATCCGTTAATTCCGCAAAGTAAGAATGTCATAAATCTGAAAATCCGCWTAAAACTTGCTTCCAAATCCGCCGATCAGAAAGCCTCCATGTTCCCCTCAACAAATGCACTTTTTTCAATTTTAATTTAACAATTTGTAGACCGAACCATGCAGTACATTGACTGTGAAATGCTTGTCAACTTTATAGAGCAAAGGTGGTATTTGGTAAATATTAGTGCAATTTTGCGCAATTTGATGGAAGTGTTTCCCAAATATAATGAATGCGTTCTGTTGAGTTCGTACATGCAAGATGATTTTTGTTTTACAGATTAGGTGCCCTATTCACGTTATCGATATCGACTCGAATAAACGCCTCCCCCGAATAGACGCCGCCCTCAAATAGACGCCGCACTTAAAGCTCAAAATATRAATAGACGCCGCCCCCGAATAGACGCCGCATCTGAGAGCGGCGTCAATTTGAGAAAATAATGATACCAGCAATATGGGAATTTATTTTCTCCTAGAACGTTTTTTATTTCGAAGTGACTGTACTTGTTTGATCTCAGCAGCTGCTAGATTCCGACCACAAGGAGGCCATTGATATTGAAATGGAAGTTTAACTCTGGTTAAAATCATAAATTGAATAGACAAAATGAACACGACATTTATATATTGAGATCCGTTACTGTTTGTTAGTAAAAAGATACAATATAAAGCACGGTATGTAGTACTGAATAAAGTGTCTTTTTAATAAACGCCTCCCCCGAATGGACGCCGCCCTCGAATAAACGCCGAAGCTGGATCGTGAAAAATGAAATAAACGCCGCGGCGTCTATTCGAGTAAATACGGTACCTTATATTTGGTGAAATTGATCCAATCGTGATGTCAGTCGCGTGAAGACGGTTCCCTGTAAGTGCCGTGGTGTTCGTTATAGTATCAACAACAGCATTGCTTTGGGTAATGTTGAGAAGGTTTCCATTCTCATCATGGACAAATGCTAGTCCGTACCAGATCCCGCTGTTGTAGTTGGACCTACAAATCAAAGGGTTTAATTATAACATGTACCATTTGTTTTTGCATTTGACAGGGCCAAAAGAGTGGACCAATAATTAATTCAACATGTGTAAACCCTAAACCAGAATCCTAATTCCAGGAATGCCCCGGGCTCAGTTTCATGGGCCGATATCCAGCAAGACTTTGTAAGATTATCAACAAGATTAATGATAGCAATCTTGAYAACTTATCTTTCAGCAGCATGTTAGTAGGAGAGTAATAATATTATAGCGAATGCGGACAGATACTGATGATAGATGGTAAATAAACTTTATATGAAGTCGAGCTTTATGATACGCAAATTCCAKACTCGCCATACCTTTTGCTTTGAATAACATCAACATCAGATCCGTTCTTCATTTCTACAAATAAATAGCCATTCTTAAGGTACAAGAGCAGCTCAGCCASATCGTRATAAAACGTTGACATCAAAACACCATTCTCTTCAAAGGTCCTAAAAGAAAKCWCTACTTCAAGATAATTCGACYGAAGCTCTATATCTTGACTCCATYTCCGTGCTGWGTCGAAGGTGGCTGKAAGACCGTTGTCTGGTAAGTAAATGTTTGGATATCTTGGTTGGGCCACACCAACCGTGCCAGATATTGACTGGTAATCCCAAAAMAGGATCGGGTATTGGTCAATTTTGAGATTCGAGAAGACTACTTCATACGMATTGGAATTTCCCTGTTGATTGGAAAACATTGTGCAATTGRTACATGATGATAAYGAAATACTTATTTGTTRTTGATCCTTGTTTGATCAGGAGAGAGAGAGGGGATTCAACAGGAGTGGGAGCAGAACAAAGATCAAAAGAAAGATTGGAAAACGATACGAGAYGAATTGTGCATTACAGCGAAAGCATCGCTRCCTTTATCTAYTTTAACAAAGGTTACACCCACCTGGCCAACAACAACGACGTCACCTTMTTGAAACTGCATTGTGCTCTCAAGATCGTTCGAGTTATGTGTAACCGTTCGCCACTGGGTAGGACTTTCAATGGTAAGAGTACCCATAGARCCATGCCTGAAACATTGACATTAAGACAAAATRTTGATTATATTAAGTCAATTCAAYGTATGTTTTTGTAGATAGCGACTTTCTCTTTTTAGTGAAAGCTTTCGGCATCTCCAGAAAAGATCCCATATCACTGAATTGAAAACCCTAGACACTTTCCAAGCGAATTTGGAAGACTGATGAATATTAATGATATTAAAAATACTTTACTAGCAAAATAATAATGACATTAAAAATACTTTAATGGGAATCCTATTTTATCGATATTTAACAAATAGGTTTTTCCTATTTTTAGGTTTTTCCTATTTTGAATACACTAGGTAGCTGAGGGATGTCACCATTCCCAACTTTTGCTATTCAAATATGAACAATTCCTTACCTTGTAAAATCGATCTGATGCCACTGACCGTCGTTAACTCGTAAGGTATTAATGAGGTTAATGTCTCCTTTACCAACGTTGAATGTTGCTCGAACAAATCCATTTTTTAGTGATAAAGTAGTAAATACTTGTGATCTCTGCATGAATAAAGGGCAAACATAAACAAAAATTATTCAATTTGTTGGTAAGTTAATCAATCTATATTTTTGTCCATCAAAAAATTCTCAATTCGTATTCATAATAATGCCCACAGCTTCTCTATTGAAAAAAACTGTTACAACGTCTTTGCACTCAACAAAGACATTATCAAACACAACAAGATTTTTTTTTTTTTATTTATTTGCCGAAATACAATTCGTGTATTCCATTTCGGTACTAACAAATAATGTACATCACATGAATACTTGAAAAAAATTTCTTATTTACACAAGTTATTTTTGATTATATATAACTATATCCTCAAAGTCATTAATTGATAAGGTTAATTGCGTTGATTGACTAGCAATGTAGGATGCCTTAAGATGCCCTTGTGGAAAGCCTTTTTTGACCTTAAAAACGTTTGCCTGGTTTGGCAGGAACAAAATTATTTTAAAGAAGGAAGGGCGCCACATTTGCTTGTGAGATTGTCAACAATTTAGCCCAAAATCCCTTTCCCAGGAAAACAATCGTACAAGAACAGTTACTTAGAAGAATAAACSTCGATCATTACTATTTCCTAACAAGTGTACGCAATTCTGTTGTTCCCAGGATAGCCACTTGAGAAGCTGCCTCCCTACTGTTCATTACACGTCGACAAGGAAACCGGCACTTGATCACATRTTTTATGTTCTCACGGTAAATGTCATTGAAGATAACACAAATGAAAAAGTTATACARAAGGGTCATATATAATATGAACAGCGAAGCACATTTAATGCCACCCAGTGTGGAAGATGGAAGATGGTTTAGCTTCCTTTGAACATACAAATTTAAAAAAATATAGCGACAGCCGAACGAAATATAGATGAGAGTGACAATTGTAGCAGATAGCTTTAACACTTTCTTATTTTGCTTCTCTCTTCGTTTTCTTATGGAATCGGTTTGTATTCCTGGTACTTTGTGTTTATATAGCTTGTAGACGGCCAGGCCGTACATTASGGCCATGAACAGGATTGGGAGAATACGAGTTAATGCAGAATCGATGTAGGTGTAGATTATGAATGTTTGGATGACATTCTGTGGAAGGACACAATATGAATTACCTGCTTTCTCAACTGTTCTGAAAAAGTACATTCTGTGGCCGCAAAAAAGACATGACATTCCCCATATTCCWGTAATGATGTACCTCATCTTGCCTTGAAARCGTTTTTGCAATGGATGAACCACAGCAAAGAATCGATCTATTGCCATGAACACACACGTAAATTCCGAAACTAAAAAAGGCACAACAGATATGAACACAAACACTTTACACAAAGCGTTGCCAAAGTCGCCGTCAATTAGCCATCTGCCGTCAAACRTTTTCCAAAGAATTTGTGTGGTTACTAACAAACAAGCGGCTCCTAAGAGATCACTGGCGGCCATGTTGGCTATAAAGRAATTGATTGTTGTCTTCAAGCGATGGTCRTTATAGACGATCCATATGATGAGAGAATTGCCGATGARTGAAAGAAAGGACTGAATAAAAAAAGCCGCAGRCCATGGCCCTMTWTTGCCACATGTGAAATAATGAAGGCTGTCATTTTGGATAGGCAAGTTCAAAGTTGCACTAGCTGCATTGTCGGCCATAGCGCGTTCGAACGTTAGTCTTCTTTCTCTGTACACCTAGCTTTTGCTTAATGACAACTGATATTTTTCTATGCTAGATTATAGTTAACAAGTRGAACTAGATTCTGATTGGACAACTGCCTTTATCAGTATTTTAMATGTACATCATACCATCTGGAAATTGATAGGAGATCAGATTTCGAGATTATGAGTAGCATATTACATATCAAGTCCACAAGAAATCTGGATGAGAATGAATTTACCGACGCAWATCATCGTGGTRGTCAGTCACGAAAAAGTATTTCAGGAAGTGTATATATGTGCCAATTTTTCCTTACTTCAYCCTTTCCCCAATTTTTTGTGATRATTCCTCGTGAGGGTCCCAGGTCTGTAGATTCAAGCCCTTAACGTTTGAGCATTGAAACCGTTTCGAAGCGTTGAAGCGATTTTTTTCGTATTGGAAATACAATTGCGGGTCGCCAGACTATAAAAAAAWTCCATTTTCTCTTGGACAAGACCTAAGTATAATCTTAATTCCATTTGAGTACACTCACCTGAGAGGATGTTGTACTGCTTGACATGTTAAGCAGTTGTCCTTCACTGGAATTTGTTCTGACGATGACAGATATCTCGCTGTGTGATTTGGTCCATTRAAAAGGGAAGSGATAAGTTGCCYTACCCATTCCGTCGATTTTCAGACCAATATCCAGTTGMGATAATCTCCTCTTTAGATCATTCAACCTCTTTTCTACATTATTCAAAGTGCTAGAAATATTTTCTCGCTGAGCTGATATTACTTGGTCGATTCTGGTTACTTCCTGTACGCTTGCTTGGCTTTTGTTCATATTCTCTGAAGCGTTGTTCACTAGATGTGGTTAGGATTTAAAAAAAACCTTAGATGCAATTCTCGGGTTGCACGTTATCGTCACAGCCGCCATGTTGGATAAAAACAACAAGGCGTTCCTCATTGGTCTCCCTTATTCATCATGTCATCTAACATGGCGGCGCTAACTTTTAATGTTGAGGGATTTCTTGATCATATGTTGTACATTAAAATACAAGAAAATTCTGGTAAGAAGTTAAGTGTTGGTTTTGTAAGGATAACAATTCGGTGTATCACTTGAGAACCGTTAAAGAAAAACTAAAAAAAGTGTTAATTGACTTATGTCGACTTAGAAATAAACATTATTGTCATTTTAATTGTCATCTAATTGTCATTATTGTCATCATTTTAATTGTCATTATTGTCATTTTAATTGTCATTTAAAAATATCTATCTAGACATACCATGAAGGTAGGCATCTTGAATAAGTCTCATATCGCGTTGTGAAGAAGACTGTATAAAAGCGATTTTCTCCTGCAAAGAGTTAACTTCACGCTCGATGCCATTCACCTRATTTYCAGCTTMTGCAACGAATTGCTCATACGCTCTGCATTTTTCTTGAGCACTTTTGATAGCATTGTATGCCGAAGGAGCTAAAAAACAGAATGGTAATTGCATGGTGATACTCCTTTTTTTCATATGACATCAAAATAAAAATTAGCGATGGGCATGGCACTGATGATGGAAAGGTGATGATGATGATGATGATGGTGATGATGGTGGAAATTGCCAAAACATTGATATAATACCCGTCTCAAAACAAACACTACTGGGGTAATAACAACAAAGACTATAGTAATCATCAATGGCAATGACGATGCCAAAGCACTGGTAATGGAAAAGTGTGGTTGTAATGGCCATAAAAATGATATTGTAATGGTCACAAAAAGAAAGATCACTTAGGTTATAATGGGAATGACAAGAAGTAATGTCATTATCCATGGCAATAACGATGGTTATTTAGTACTTGGTTCTTTACCGTCTTCTGCAGCTAGTTTAAGTCTATTTCCCGCTTTAATCAGATCAGGATAGTGGACGTAGGTCTGGGCCCATATTGGAATGATATCTTTCAGCGAATCATTCAGCCTCGTTAGGTATTCTTCAACGTGTGCTGGATTGTAAAAGGAAACATTTGTCAACTATATTTCTGCATTCTGAATGAGCGACAAATGAGAACATATTCGTCTTKTGGCTCATGAAATTGCATGTAAATGTTTGGTTTTGAAGTATAAAACTAAGATTATTTTCGTAAAAGAAACTTTAAATGTTTTGACATTAGACTCGAATAAATATCAAGATAATCCACGCTCTATTACATATTGATAATATTTAAGAAATATAAAACGGCGCGCGTGTCTCTGTCCTCTGATATAAACACGAGAGAAGCAAGCTTAGGAACGCGAGCGTAGCGTGTGTTTCTCTTGCTTCTCGAGTGTTTTTCAACTCCCACCGTGTTTATATCAGAYGACAGAGACACAAGCGGCCGTTTTATATTTCTTTTATAAAATTTTTTGAGCGAAAAGAAAATTTTGCCGGTAAGCCGTGTCTCTGTCCTCTGATATAAACACGGTCGTCAGCCAATCAAAGCGCGCGTTATATATCAAAAATTTTATAAAAGATAATATAAGACGAAGCAAGACGTTTTCTACATACCAACTCCATTTTCACTTAAATTTCTTTTTATTACATCATTTAAGAAGTTTGAAGCTAGAGTTTTCGCCTGCCTGGCCATATCAAMGAGAGCCGATGCGGGCATTCGATTCATCTATAAACAAAATCAAAACAGGATGAGAATTGTTCAAAGTTGCTAAAAAATGTCAAAAAGATCATTGTTAATTCTTGTATTATTCTTATATGATACATTTCTATACAACCATGCTAGTGACAATATTGTAGGTGTCAATTTTTTTTCGCTACGCTTGGGGGTGCATGCAGGAGTGAGAAACAGTAACTTTCAGTTACATAAGTTTTAAAAGCTGCCTTTGGTCGCTAACAGTCTAAAATGCATCCCATGAATCATTTCGTGAGTAAGAAGGAGCCCCTAGGTATCACTCTGTCATATTCTCATGTCACTCAAAATACATCTTGGAAAAGACGTCGCTCACGGCTGTGGTCCTGGTTCGATTCCCGGTCAGGGACTAAATGTGATTTGAGTTTGTAGGCTGGTTCTCTTCCTTGCTCCGAGGGTTTTTCTCCAGGTCCGCTGGTTTTCCTCCCTCAGTCAAAAAACTAGCTGTGAGGAGAGTCGTGTAGTAAAATAATGAATGTTGAGGTAGTGAGTATGAGTGAATATATAGAGGGGCCACAAGTTTATTAGTCTAGAGACTATTACGTGCTACCCTCTCAAAATAAAAGACTTTATCTATTTTATTTATTTATTTACTGGAGACGGGAAATGGGGTTGTTTTCGTCCCCATATCTTAACGAAAACCATGGATCTACCTTAAATTGCATGCTTTGCATGCTCTCTTACCTGTAAAGCAAGGCTTGCTATTATATTATTAGCTCTGGATAAAGTGTCTATCGAATTATTGATCACGCGTTCTATTTCATTGAATTGGTGGATAGCTTGAACAGCAGTCTCTCCGTGTCCTTGAACTGTACTAAATTCCCTGAAATGATTTCAGAATGATGTGATTTGAGTTTATGAGAAAAATTAATTAAATTTGGATTTCTGGCTCCCAAACAGTTTCATCTATAAAATATTGTAACGAAAGACCCARAACAAACAATTCCAACTTATTTGGACATTGGCTTCAGTATCGATTATTGTCCGATGTCGTATCCATCCCTTAGACTTCTCTTACCGTTGKATGGCTTCTGCTTGGTTTTTCATCAGTTGTGCATTCTGATGCGCTAACCTCAGACGAATGTCAACAGTACCCAAGATGGCCATCATCTTGTTCTTTTGTGARTGCAATAGACTGGATGCATCAGCCAGGCCACTTGTASCTTTGAAATCACCACTTTCAAGCGTCGATACATCCTTCATTTATTAAGGAGAGTATATTATTATTGTGAAAAAAAATCAGTCTAGTACTATTTTTTCATATGCAGGTCATCCTAGAACCCCTACGTTAGTTTGTTGGCTTCTTGCAGGTTGAAAATCAAAGATGACAAATTTTCATATGTGAAAAAATTGCGCAAAGAATGTAAAATATACGCGCCGTCAATAGTCTTCTTCACGGTTCATTGCGCCATCTTGAAAGTTAGCCGTGCCTTTGCATTGAAGCGAGACGACCGTTGAGCGTGCAATGAGAGAAACCGCCCTTTACACCTACAGACGATTATTAACAGGTATCTATCGTTGCACGCTCAATGGTTGTCTCGCTTCGATGACAAGGCAGGGCTACCTTTCAAGATAGCGCTGGAAACCGTGAAGGAGACGATTGCGTCTTTGATGTCCTTTGTTTTGCCAATTGCTCATAAAAATGCTTGTAAGAACTGACATGTATTACTTGATAAARACATCAATAACATAAGTCAACTTACGGCTGAGCTGAGAGGGTACCACTTTGTAAACTCTGCATCCCCTACTACTGATAAATCAATTATAGCTTCCCCCATAAAGTCATCGGCATCCTCTGGATCTTCATCTAATACTCTTACTTTCAGCTTTGACTTCTTCAACTGCTCATGCGTAATGTTGAACTCAAATATCTGCTCGAAACTCCCCCATTTGGGATTAAGAGTGCCTAAAAATGATTATGATTTATATACAGCTATGTCATTGAATTATTGACCATCGCCCCCCTTCCCTCCAACGAACAACCACAAATCCTCTGTAAGTTTTGTCTTACATTTTATGTACGGTTTAAAAATATATTCGTCTTAGTGATCATCGAAAATGTGTATATCCTATCCTYCGATAACATTTTTTGTGTGTAAAGAAATTTGTTTTGCGATTCTTTTCTTTTCTTTTCTAGGTTGCTCGAGGTCTACAGGTTTGCCAAATTATGTGCCTAATCTGCTGGCCTAACGACATGGCCGTTGGCAGCAGCTAGCCCAGGCTAACAAAACTAGTACTGTTCCTTTTTGTGCGTGCCTTATACGCTCCATTCGAAACCCGACAATATGTTTATTCAATGAAGTCTAAATATATTAGGCTGTTGGGTATGGAGGAGGGGTGGGGTAAAAAAGTACAGACTTAGGGGGAGGGGAGGAGAACGGAAAGGGCTTTGGAAGAGAGAATAATTCACAAGTCRTACCTTTCTTAGTTGTCGATCTCTTGGTCCCGTGTTCATTGGGGATGAACGAGATTAGAACATACGGATCAGCACTTCCACTTGGCAGGTCACGTGGTGAGAGATTACGTGCAGCTAGTACCTTCAGCGCAAACCAATTACCTTCATSTTTATACTTGAGCATGGAAATCTGAATTTCACCGCTGACCGCAGTTACCGTTGCCTTGTATGACTGTGTTACATATATCATATACATGGTATTAGTTTATTTTACATATTACTTTTTGTTAAAAACAAAAAAATTTTTGATAATTGCTAAAAAGCAGGAGGTGATGATTTAAGAACAAAAATCAGGAATGACAGGATGCCAGAAAAATTYCCACAATCAAGTTTGCAGATAATAGATATCCTGAGTTCCTAATCTCACGCAGTYAGCATAACAGTGTTTAAGAAGTACTCTACCTCCAATTTTTCAAGGGCTAACTTCAAGTCATTTTTCGTCGTATTGAGAATGTGATCTGAGTCGTTACCAACATTCTTAGCCTCTTGTAAGCGTAAAGCCTCTTTAGCAAGGACCATCTATAATCATAAACATTAATGCTAATATTGCTTGGATACAACATTTTGTAAAAAGTCAAAAAGTAACAAGAATATCTCTACATATATCGGATGCAAACGCATCGAAAACTGAAGAGAATTAGTATTTTTTTCGTTATTCATTGGGTAAAAGGGAGTATAATGAGAAAGTCGAATAAGAGACCGGCCCGCATACGACAAGGAATCATACAAGAAGTTTCTGTAGACCGGCCCGCATACGACAAGGAATCATACAAGAATTTTCTGTGGACCCGCCCGCATACGACAAGGAATCATACAAGAATTTTCTGTAGACCCGCCCGCATACGACAAGGAATCATACAAGAATTTTCTGTAGCAACTCCACCTCAATAAAGCATCACTTGCCCCAAATAAATGCATCTTTTTTCGTCGATCAAGGTAAGTACTCCAGAATGATCTGTGGTACATTGTATATCAACCCACATAATACCATCATACCTGAGTATCCTTGATAACGTCACGTACGCCACTAAATTGGTGTTGTATTTGTGCAATAAGATCAAGGAAATTTCCATGCGTTGCGGTCCATTCATTCACTAGCTGGGACAGGTTTCTGCGATTTTGTTGTATCTCCGAGTTTAGTCTAGATGCAAGTGATGTTTGGTTAAGGACCTGTGAAAAATGWCATCAATTAATTACACATGCTAGAAGGATATTTTTCTTGTCAAGCTATAATCACCAAATCGCCAAGGAGGAGTTAAAAAAAGATACCAGACCACTCCTTTTCTGGAGTACATTTAATGCCATCAATTTTAACTGCACATGGAGGAGTAATTTGATTCGCCTTAGATGAGCAATTTGGAGCTGCAATGACTCGGTTTGTAGTAATTATGACTCTCATTCCGATTTGATTTAAACCACTGGAATACAAACTACTCGCATAGTAGAGTAGATTTTACTGAAAATGATGGAAACTAGCGGTAAACTAATGTGTTCCGCGTCGGTGTTTCTATGGACGAAGAATTCACGTCCGGAACGTCAGTACGTTGTTTCACCTACTTTTTAACGGTGTTAAATTTATCTTTTTACATGAAGTGGATTTTACTGACTCTCTTAAAATCAACTCCATTGGTTGAGTTATTTCAACTAATAACTGTGAATATGTAAATACCCATTGTTCTTAGTTTCCATTAATGTCACCTTATTGAACCGGTCAATCTTTGCTGAATATTCTGTATAGACTTGGACATTGAAAATCTTTTTCTTACCTGTTTTGCAAACATGGCAACAAACGATGTCAAGTTGTCAGCATCTCTCGTATTCKTATCAACAATAGCTTGCTGACTGGAGAAATCTCTCATCATGTGATCTGTAACGCTTTCATTGGCTGATCGAATTGCTTGTTGACCGTACTGGACTTGCGCAGCAAACGTCGCCATGATGTTTTTGAGTAGTGAATCAAGCTCTTTGAAAATTTAAAAAGAAGAAAACAAAGATRGATCCAAAAGCGATTCATCAATCTGTGTGGATTTTGGAATTACRTTTATCAAATCATTAATAATTCATAAGGCACTAACACAATGGAAAATCATTGCCGTTACCGCATCTTTATATGAGCAAGAGYTTTGTCCTGATTTGCATACGACTTTAACTTCGAAGTATTTAGCAAAATATGCTTTAGCTTATGTTGGAATTTGATAAGCAATCTGAAATATTCAATTCGCGTCCGCCACTTGCAGCTTGCAGTTTTAAATGTCCATAAAGGTCTCTCGCTCATATTTTATATTACATCAAACATAATGTTTATTCTAGTCTGAGTATCAGACTAGATGGGCGGGAGAGGGAGAGTGTAGCTCCGCCCCAATCCCCTTCGAGAGAGCTTGGTACTCAGGCTATGCTTATTCACGTTTATTGCACTAACCTTTGATATCGGATTCTGCCTCTTTCGTTCTCATGTGTATATCTTTAGTTCTATTTAGATCAGAAGCTACTTCTCTTGACACAGACGTAGCACGTTGCATAGCACCAGCATTCTACATAGAAAACATATAATCATGTAAGATTCATCGCACAATTTTATAGGAGCTATCGTATCAAATTATTATCATAACGAGCGTTTAGTGTGTTATCAAGAGTGTATCTAAGAAAGCATATTTTCATGTCCTATTTTCAATTTCAGCTGCTTTATGATTGCAGACGGAAAGCAATTAGAAGAACTCAGAGTCTTTGYTTTTGCCGATAGCCCTTCCTTTTTCCAAATACTTTAGTATTTCCACTTAGCATTGATCACACGRCAACAACATTGACCAGTAATCATAATATTTTATTATAAACTATCAGTCTAACAGTCTAGATACCTCGTCATAGACTTTGTTGTAGCTCACATTGAGATGCGGAAGGTTGGTCATGATAAGATTCTCATAGGTTACCCCTGCTACCTTGAGCCTTTCAAGAAACGCGTCGAACTTCATCTAGAAAGATTAAAGAGCACAATAGTCTCCTTAAATGTTACGTGCGCCATCTCGAAAGGTAGGCGTGCCTTTGCATCGAAGCAAGACGACCGTTGAGCGTYCAATGATAGAAACTTTCTTTKGCACCTATAGAAAATTATTAATAGGTTTCTATCATTGCACGCTCAACGGTCATCTCGCTTCGATGCAAAGGTACGGCTACCTTTCAAGATGGCGCAGGTAACCGTGAAGAAGACTATTATAAATCGATGAATACGTAGGTTCATTATACATGTATTCATGCATCGACAAATTGATGGATCTACGAAGCGATCGATCAATCGATCGATCAATTCATGAATCAATAGATTCATGAATCGATTTCTTATGGATACATTAATCAATTAATCGAAGAATCGATGTTTTTTCTGCACATTCAGGTTATTCATCAGTGAGTCTACACACCGTTGAGCGTCCTTCTAGTAGTTCAGCATCTGCCAATGGAGCATGAAATCTGGCCAACTTCTCAAGCAGTTCTCCTTTGTCAGTTGTGACATTTGCTTGTGCAGCAATTTTATTCACTAATTTTGTCAACTCCATAACACAAGCAGGACACGCTAAGTGAAAAAATGGGAAAACGTATAGTCAGTAGCAAGCACACGGCAAATAAGCTTCATATTGCTATAAAAGACTTCTACGTCATTTGAGCGGGATATCTGTGCATTTTAGTTTCGAGCTTCCTTTAGCGAATCCATGCCATATATGGAAACAAATAAAATAGCKAAATGTTCAGAAGTGTTTTCGCTATAATATCTGCAAGTTTCAGACGATTTCAAGCTTTAAAAGTCGAGAAAATAGCCAAAAACCAGTCCAAACGTACTTCCAAATAAGGAACGATTATGATAGATATATGGCTGCTAATCAAAGGACGACTTTTCTGCGACAATTCTTTGGTATGGATAGGGGAAGTTAAGATAATATGAATATCAAGATATACTGAAGAAGGAACAGCCACAATATCAATGAATGGCTCAAAGGTTCACGTTAATGTTAATTTGTTTCTATTAATTACCAGAACAGCCCTGGTCAGTAAAGTTACTGAAGTACTTATCGCATCTATCACAGGTTCGTCCAGTTACTCCTTGCTTACACTGGCACTGACCAATAGCATCGCTATTGCAGACAGTGCCATTTATAGTTCCAGTCGCATTACAATTACAAGCTGAAAAAAATAAATAAATAATGAAAAAATYGATGAAATAAAATAAAGACACGTTACAACGACGGTAAAAATAATTATTTTTTATTATTTCATTGTTTATATATAGTTAAAGTGACAAACGTCGTGACTTTTAAAAATATTAACGCTCAAAACCAATCCTTAGGATCCGTCTCACTAATTGTAARATTTACCTTGGCAAGCCTTAYCGGGAAGRCCATAGTATCCCGTGGTYCARMTCGAGCATTTCATCCCTCCTGCGCCTGTTTTACATTGGCAATGACCGCTGACGTTACATTGCTGGCTTGCAGACCCATATATGTTACAACCACAGTCTTTACATCCAGATGACCCGAAGTCAAAAGTGTTATTCTGTAGCGATAATGTAAATGTTAAATCTACATTCGCAAAATAGACTGATAAAACAACAAGTTAATGGAACAAGCAATTGCTAAGAGATTGATAAAGGATTAGATTAATTCTACCAAATATTTTCACTTTTTTAAGACTCATCATTTACAAAAATAAAGCGTTAATACCACCGATGGACAACAAGAGGACAAATAACAGTCAGACGTCACGAATTCAAGTGCTCGCAAATCTGCAGGACGCCTGCTGGCGCAAGGTGTTACGTTTTCGTTAGGACCGGTCATGTAAACGTCCATTAAATAATCCATTGCTTGCAGCCTGATTATTCACATAGCTTTAACGAGCAGGAAGTGTCTGTTTGTTGCTTGATGTTGTTGTTGTTGTTTTACAGCACAGCTGTACATACCTGACATGTATCGCAGCCTCGTCCAGATACCTTAGATTTACAGATGCATTGTCCAGTAACAATATCACAATATGAACCAACTGAGCCAGTGGAGTTACAGTCACAAGCTGTAAGTAAGGCAAACAATATCAAAGAATTGTACGTCATTCATGCGGGATCCCTGTGCGAATCCATGCCATACATTGAAACAAACAAAATGACCGATTGTTCAGAAGTGTTTTGGCTATGATATCTGCAAGTTTCAGACGATTGCAAGCTATATAAGTCGAGAAAATCGCCAAGAACCAGTCAACAGGTACTTCCAAACAAGGTAAGATTACCAAACATGTCTGGCAAACGAAGGACAACTTTTCTGTGGCAATTCGTTGATAAATAAGAAATTGTTAAGGTGGATCGTACTAGTGATAATTGAGATGCATAGCATATCTCCTTGGCTCACCCCCCTGAGTCCCTACTGTAATAGTAATAAGGTTGTAAAAGGAAAAGTAAGTTTCGTACCTCGACATTGTTGAGTCAGAGCATCACCATATGTCATATTGACACATCTTTCACATCTCAGTCCAGTAGTGTTGTGCTGACAGTCTGAGCAGTCACCATTTCTTGAGCACTTATTGCTATTTCCATTACACTGACATGGTTCACATGTACGCCCTATCGTATTAGCAGGACATTCGCACATCCCTGTTTGAGGGTGACACACCCTATTTGGCCCTTTGCACGAGCATGCTGAATCAAAACATTACAAAAGTTAGTGAGATTGAATTGAACAAAAAGACGTACCTTTTTACAGCTTCATTAGGTACAACATAACAATAAATCCAAAAAAATACTTCACGAGTGAAGACTAAACAACAACAACAACAACAACAACAACAAAAACAACAACAACAACAACAACAAAGGAAAAAAGATAATAAGCCCAACCGGGTGAGCACGAACGGAAACAAGCCCCATGCGAGTTGCTACCCTTTTGACTATAAAAACAAGCTACTTTTCCGTTCAGGACCTTCAAATTACTCCATAATTGAATTTGTTGTGTAAAAAAGATAAATTCAACACCGTAAAAAAGTAGGTGAAACAGCTTACTGACGCTTCGTCTCTTTTTACTCTCTTTATAGTCCGAAACGTCATAAGTTGTTTCACCTACCTTTTTACGGTGTTAAATTTATCTTTTTGCACAACTGTTTATTTTGAAACACCGACGCAGCTCACACTAGCTAGTTTACCGCTAGTTTCCTCTATTTAAGTTGGCCCCGTGTTAACGCCCTATTAATTCAAGAGTCTTATTTTAAAAAAGTGGATATTTGTTATGCATATACTTACGCTGACAACCTTCAGCAGTCAAATTGTAGTAGCCAGGTTTACATCTGCTGCAATCACGACCTTCGACKCCAGTCTTACACGAACACTGCCCTCCGTATTCCTGGCATGTCGTATGATTGAACGAGCCGTCGATATTGCAAGCACAAGCTAAAAAAGTAAATGAATAACGCATATTAAACCGTCTTGACTTTATTTATTCCGTGTCGGGACACTGGACCCCTTTTGTGATGTACTCTCTCATATACTTACGCAGTGTCCCATTAAGGAAAGCAGCAGTCAGGCTAAAAACACCTTCTTTACACAACTTCTCATTGGAGCTGACAACAAAAAATGGCAAAAGTGAAGTCTAATACATGATTATACATGCACCAGTGAAACCCTTACATCCGGGGAAAGGGGGACTCCCTATAATATAAAAGGCCTYYGGTCCTCGTCGTCCCTTTTAGGGTTTGAAATCAGTGTTTTGGTCCCGCTTAGGGTGATAATGATTAGAATTCCCACCAACTGAGTTTTYTTGTCCCTTTTAGGGTATACGACGGCCCTAACGATTTGTATATGACACACATCGTCATAAACTCAATATGAGACGACGTCGTTTGATGCTTGTGCAAGAACACAAATAAAATCGGGAAACCAAACCAAAATGACCTGTTATTGATTGGTCCCTCTTAGGGGTGAGATTTCAGCACTGCTGCGCCCATTCTCTCACAATACAGGTCACTTCTAGGGGTCATTTTCAGAATTTCCAACGAGGATCCCCGCCCTTTTATATTAGGGAGTCCCCCCCCCTCCCCCCCGCCGGCCCTTACATCCCACAGGGAAATAATAGGATAGGTAAAGATTGATACCATCGATAAATTAAATGCAGCCTAACCCTCTTTCATAAATGCTAGCTTTAGATACTATAATATAATGACATTAATTGACAACATCGCATTTGGGGGAGGACTAGGGGGTAAATTTTTAATTGGTGTCGCTTAATACAAGTAAATACAATTTTCCGTGAATTTTTGCGGATACCATTGCTCTTTGCAATACTTATTATAAAGGTTTATTTCGTTGATATATGTCGTGTTCTATATAACGAATTAACTCAAAAAATACCTCATATCGTTCCTTGTAARATCACATTGGAACTTAAAAGCACCTATGCGATCCGTACCAAGGACAGTAGCTTCAATYAAGGCTTTTGGTAATGCTACTATCTGGACCTGTAAAAGTATTAACCAATTCAAACATGAATTGTACGAAGCTTTAGGAAAGTATTTTTTTCATATTCATCGTCACTTCGTCGGACTCCAACAACCGTATATCCACCACATCTTGGGATATCCACCACCTCTCCGTTCTTCACTACATTCACAGTATTCCCAATTTCCCCGGGTATCCATCACTTCCCCGGTCATCAATCATTTTTAGCTTTGGTCATCCACAACTTCCCAGATATTACACTACTTTCCAAGTAGTCCACTGCATTTTCCCGGTCATCCAGCACTTATATATCCACCAATTCCTGGCTTATCCACCACTTACTTACTACTGAAGCTGTTTTCGGCATTTCATTAACTCAGTCTGAACCAAAAACTGAACGACAAAATGCCTAATCATGAACTAGCAACTAATATCAACCTCCCAAAAATAAGAATACATACCAATTTTTTGACTCCTTTAACAGTTACATTTATACAGTAGGTTTCGGCTGATATGTTGCAGTACCCAGAACCAATACCAAAGCATGACTTCAGTACAGTTCCCGTTATTGTAGAGGAATTCGTTTCCATCGAATCGATKTCCGCAGCTCCTACAATTTCGTTAGTGGTTGTTTTGATGATTATGTGATACTTTGAAGTCTTTGGTATAGGCAGACAGACAGACAATGTATTCTGGAGATAATGAAAACGATGGTTCAATCAATAAAAGAGTCTGCAATCCATCTTTTAATCAATCAATCATTCATTCAATCTTTCATGATTCCATTTCAATATTTMATTTTTTATTATCTTTATGTACCGTTGCATTTTTATAAGGATCTTTGGAAGCACTAAAGTGGTGAACTTCAGGATAGAAGAAGCCAATTTTCGGTCTAAAAGACAAAAACAACATCAACAGTAATGTTACGCCTAAAATCTAAAGCAATCCTCAGTTCTATCCTCTAAAAACTTGAAAAGTAGTCGTGTATTTCAAAATAAGACAGGAATAGACGACGAATTCCTGGGAGAGGTATATCTGTCCTTATGTTCCAGCTGGCTGTAAGTCACAACTGGTTGACAGTGAGAAATTTAGGAAGAAAGAACTCTGTCAGGAAAATAAAAAAAATCCTAAATAAAAAATATAAGCCGTTTTTGACCATAAAAACGTTATAGAAGCCTTTTTTGACTTAAAAACGTTTGCCAGGAACAAAATATTATAAAGAAGGAATGTCGCCACATTTGGTTGTGAGATTGTCAGCAATGTAGCTCAAAATTCCTTTCCCAGGAAAAAAAAACGTTCAAGAACAGTTATCAAAGATCGGGAAGTGCACCCCTCCCCCCTTGCGACCTCTTCTTGACGATTATAAACTAATAAGAAGTATACTCACTTATCACAAACRCTGTTGATGATATTCGGCCGACATTGACACTGCCCCGTTACTTTATCGCAGGTGTTTTCTGGATACGTTCCKCCCTCGTCACAGCCGCAATCTATAGGAGATGAAGTTGTGAAAAATTGATTTCACTTCAATGCGATAAAAGGACTCTTTCATCTGTTTCAAAATGATGGAGAAACGAGAGAAAAGAGGTATTTCTAGCTGATATTTCAGTTRTGAAAATTCTGAATGCAGTTCTTTGATGTAAATAGATTCGGTGAAAGGAAAGTGAAAAATATGTATTGAGCTGATACTAGGTGAAACTTTAAAGCGATAATACCATGCCGAAGCAACACTAAGCCAATAAAAAAGTAGTGGTTAAAGCTATATGTAGACTTTATCAGAAAAAGATTGGAAATTTAACTCACTTTGGCATCCATCAGCACTTTCGTTTCTCATGTTGTAATAACCATGTTTACACTGGCTGCAGTCACGAAGTTCAACGTTTTTCTTGCAAGGGCACTGCCCAGTTGATCTCTGTCAAAGATAGGTATTGTTAATTACGGTCAAAAGTGTATACATCAATTTGATTGACATATCTCCWATCCATCAGTGCTATTTTCTCGTCCATTCACTCGTTCATTTCCTATGCTAAGTACGTAGAATATATACCGTATTGCAAACATTAGTGGCATTTACTGTCCCAGGTCGATGACAATTGCAACCTAATAAGAATAGATAGAAATAGAAGATTTGTTTCATCAAATAATCTACAATTATTTATATCAATACAGTTTTTTTTATCGCCATGACTTTACCCATGCAGCCTTCAGGGTTTTCCTTTGCCAAGTTGAAAAATTCAGGTTTACATTGATTGCACTTCGAACCACGCACATTGGCTTTACAATAGCAGTCACCAGGTTCCTAAAGAGCAATAAGTTGACATTATCGTCTGATTATAAATATTAAGATCTATTATCAATCAATCATTCAATCGAGCAATCATTCTTTCAATCAATCAACCAATCAATCAACCAACATTGATAAATCGAMCAATCAATGAAACAAGCAGGCAAGTGAGCAATTGCTCAATTAATCAGCATATCAATCAATCAATCAATCAATCAATCAATCAATAAACCAATCAGTCGGTCAGTAACCAATCCATCACTAATTCATCATTCAGTGACGAAAATTTCATTCACAAACCTTTCCAGAGTGTTGTGATAATTCTGTTTCGTCAGYCACGCAGTCAAGGAAGGCAAGAGAGSTAACGTTCTTAGTACCTTTCACGTCACACTTGCAAGCTTMGAAAAATAATTYAACAATTTCATAATGAAGATGTTGMGCGTATATCTATCTGATGATGTCATTCTTGACGTCATAATGTATGATAGYCGTCTCATATGACGTACCTTCACAGGCGTCTTCTCTTTTATGGTCCCGTCCTCGTGGTCTATAGTAGAATTCCTTGCACTTTTCACAGTTTATTCCACGAGTGTGGTTCTGAAATAATGAGCAAAAAAATGATTTCTTGATTTTTGGAATTGCTCTGATTTAATAAATGTGCCAGTGTGTAACATAATATGATAGGACATGAGTTAAASAACACCATTACAGACAATACCGAAAAAATGTAAGATAAAAGTATCAGGTAAATATCGTTTGCATGCTTTTCAATAGATGCCAATTAGTAACAGAACAGTTCAGTGTTATGTATGATGCCAGCGAATTTCGTATCCGCGTTATTGTTCTATAGTCAAGGCTAAGTTTTTCAAATCTCATTCTATATTTTCTTGAACGAAGAAGCAGATAGCAAGTCAGTCAACATCATTACCTTACAATCCTGACAAACACCTCCGCCACTTCTGTTACCATGGATATCGAGACTCAGTTTGAGATCGTTTACCGTCTGGTTGTAAACACACAMATCTGCGTGGTTGTGGCAGTTGCACCCTAAACATTTTTAAATTAAGTTGTAAAGACAACTATAAAGGCCACTGTAACATATCTGAACCTTTGTTATAAATAATAACAAAATAGCTATATATCAGTGTACTTACGTTCACAAGAAAAACTCGTATCGACTTCCCAAGGTGCTTTGGAACCAGCAGACCAAGYCTTTTGATTGTAAAGTGGGCAGCATGTCTCACAGTTCTCGCCACAAGTGTTATTTTTACAAACACAGGACCTTCGCTTTGTCGTCTCATTTTGTGGGCAATTGCTTCCATCTCCATGGCCTTTGCAATCGCAACGTGCAAAAAATTCAATCTCTCTCACACTGTAATGATGCTAGAGAAAAGACATATATAGCTGTTTCAAAAAAGGTTGTCGGATAAAATGGCGAATGTCAGTTGTCGAACGGCGATTGCACAACCGAAAGTAGTTATGGGTTTTGCTAATTGAAAGGCAATAACAACCGATTTGTACTGTAAAATGCTCCGTGGTAAACATTGGCTCCATTTAGTCTCCATTTCTATGTAAGGTGAATCAAATAAGTGAAATTTTGTTTATCAAAACAGTGTAACCATAGTCCCTTTCGGTCGTGCAATCTACCTTCGACAATAGCCGTTCGCCGTTCTCCCCGACAACGTTTTTTGAAATCGCTGTATCTTCAAAGGGTCATCGGACTCCCGTGGTTCAATGCGGTCGCGGTTTTATCTTTTATATGTGTGAAATCTGATGGAGGCAAAACTATAAAATTGTTTTTCAAACTAGCTCTATACTTACAAATTTGTAGGCAAATTGACCAAGGACGGTATTCATGTCTAAGAATTTGAACCGAAGACTTGCCACACTCAGCCATGCCTACAAAAGAGATAAAGACACCTTCATGGGTGGAATAAATGATGTTCATTCAATTAAAAATAAGAAAAATAGAATCCCGAATGAAAAGAATTGACTATTCAAAGAAATCTCTTCTCTCGTTTCTTTAATCTCATCGGTTTTTGTTGCTCATACTGACTGCTAGCCTGACCTGTGTCTTTTGCATTGAGGACAGTAAGGAGGGCAAAAGCAACGGCTTTAATTTGTACAGCGAAAACTATGTCCTTCATTGTATTCTCGTTGCTTTAATACCCCATTATACCCCGATTTAGTGTTGTCTCATGTTGTGTGCTGACCTGTATCTTTTGCATTGAGGAGAGCAAGGAGGGGACAAGCAACGGCTTTAAAATTACAGCAGACAACACATTATGTCTGCCAATGTAAGGTTTTTAGCTAGTATCTTACCAGGACTTCACTTGTGTATTCAGCATTTTGAACACCTCTTGATCGTCGAGTTAAATCAACGGTAATCTGTAAGAAAATGATGAGCTACTGAAATTCGTTGGTAAACATCGTTAAAGGATAGGAAAGCGACGAAMTTTTAACTCAGAATTSCCCACTCATTACTARTTTRACCGAAAGACAAGCTTGTCAGTGAAACCGATACAATCTGGAAAATGTGGGAAATTTTGAGCGGAAATTGATAACGTTCCTTGGCATATTTTTTCGTGTCCTTTCGTCTCACCAGTATCCATTCTTCACTCATTCCCATTCCTTCACCCACGCCCCCCATCCGGGTCCACGGTTCCATATCCTCGCATTGCTCCAATCATTCAATCACAATCACTGCTCATCTCTCATTTATTCAACCATACCGTTTCGTTGTAATCATCAGGATAATTCTTCTCATAATACTGACAAAGAACTTTATCCACTCGTTCGATTATTACTCCTCTTGCGTGGACGTCGACTCCAAAATTGTCCTGACAAGTGCTAGCGGTTTCTACAGGACGTTCCACCAGGTAATGATAAGGTTGGAACGGTGCCCCAACTGCATCAGATCGTGATATCTTAATTGCCTTTGGACGTCGCTGAAGACCAAACGATAACTTGATCTCACGAGCGAAAAATGTCTGAAAAGGAATAAATAAAGAAGTTTAAACTTCGCCGTGTCGTTATCATTTGTAAGCTTTAAAACGAATATTCTGCCCTTTTTTGATYCACAGCAATGTCATATAATGCTATGAACATTTGAAGACGAGTCCTTTTGGAAAGACGCTCTGGTTTTTGCCAATATTTTTCCTATTTTCATCAACTCTGCAGGCTTGACTGCTAGCATGTGACGTCATAGCGAAATAGTGTCGTCAGTGAAACATTTATAATGCAATCTTGAATTCCACCAGACAGCCAGACTTTTCTTTCATTTTACATAGTACAGAATTTATTATTCATGATACCTGCACTGATGCTTAGTACGCTTACAGCGGAGCTGTCTTAATCTTAGRTGTAGGACCATTTCATTTGTTTTAAACAGAGGAAAGCAGCCAAGAGACTAGTACTCAACTTAGTCGTGCTAAATCGTTCGAAAACATACCTCGTTTGAGGGGAACTCGTTTCACGTCTCATTTCAGACGATAAGAAATTAGAATTCTGTCTTTTAACTTCCCCATTAAAGCCATAAGCTGTTTAAAAGCGAGCAAACATTGCTCAAAGCCGAGGATGTGTTTTAAACAAGATGGCGGATGTTATAATCGGTAATAAAAATCTACTAAGCCACAAACTCACAAAAAGATGGTTGCGAGTTAAATAAACATGCAAGTTTCATAAAAGTAAGACTAAAAGTAAAAGTAATAATAACAATTGAATTAAGCAGTTTTTATTTTATTTTTATTTTTTAGTGATTTGCAAAACAAAATTAACAGAAGTAGTTTGGCTGGCGTCAAATATATATCGATAGCAAAATAGATTCCAACTATTTTGATACAAGTTTGCGCTATTCATTTAGCTATTTATTTGCGTTATTTCGAAATAACGTAATTACAAGCCGTGAGAATCTGGATYTGATTAATTTTCGATTGATGTTCAATTTAGTATGACAAAACATTGAAAATGTTTTCTAAATTTAACTACATACCTGCTGTAGATCGATTTGTATATAKGCTTTTCGTTGTTCTGCTGTCTTTCGTGCGGTGGACTGCCAAAACGTTGCTAGCGATTCATCTACGAGATAACTTGGTGGATGTGCATTTTTTGGGTCGTTTGCATCACAAGTTTTCGCAATTCGTGTATCGGGACGTTTGTCTTTATCTAAAGTTGTATAAAACTCCTCTTCTGGAGAGCCACATGTGATATTTGCAGAAACAGGCTTTTTAAAGGCTGCATTAATCGAAGATTGAGCTGTTACAAAATGTGCAATTCCCAAAAGAAGAAAAAAATGAAGAAACGATGTCATTTTCCTCAGAATCTTCGAGGAAAACGCTCTTAGCAAAATATTTTTGCTGAAGATAATGCGAATATCATGCCAAAAAATAGTGCGAATTTAATATATGCACACTGAATAATTTATAATATTTGAAAAGCGACGCTTGTATTTAAGAGGTATTGACACTTAAGGTTTTGCCAGTCGCCGCAGAGCTATCCACAAAACAAATAACATTTGATCGAAAGTTGAAGTACAAAAATGTCCAGCATTTTTCGGTTATTTCTTTATAGGAGTCGGAAATATTAATTTACGATTGTTCGTCGTCGTTTCTACGACAAATGAGCTAAATGGAAGAGACGGGGGAAAAAATGAAAAAGAGCAAAATAGATAGGAAAGAGACTAAGTAAAATAAAAAAGGATGGGAAACTAATAAGTTAGAAATAAATTGTGKTGTCATTGCTTCACTATCTTTTATCTAAAGGAGAATTGAGTGTTTTTACGGATATTGATTTCTGAAAAAGTCAGGCGAAAAGTCACTAGTTCATTTACACTGAGCTGGGGCAATATGGCCAACACGAACAAGGTCGATCATTGTGAACCTTATATATACTGTGTAGTAGTCTATATAGTAAGAGTAAAGAGGCTGAAATCATAAGTAGTCACTAGCACCTTTTAGTATTTATTGTACTTTGAACCTATATTTTCATAAGCCATTAAGCTGATTAGATGTATAGTAAATAATTTGTTAATTCTTCTTATCGTAAATAGTTTGTTAATTCAGTTTCTATATTGCGAAAGAACTTAAATAAACTTTGGACGCTGCATATAGAGCTCATCCAATTTGCACAATTAAAACACTTTTTTCTTACTTTTACAAGCGGTTGCTTTTGCACTTATATATTAAGGCATACATTTACGTTCTTTTACAAATATATGGATGACTTTCCTTGCATTTCTCCAAGGTCCAATTTACAGCRGAATGMCTGATTTTATCCAGAAAGAGACAATCGTTTTCAGCGTGTTGGTTTTGTGCGTTGCCTGCGATATAGGTCAGCGGTGAACTGTCGGACCACTCAAGGYAYCCCTCTTTCTTGATGTCATTCAGACCAATCCATGCTCCAAACAATTTTCCATCTGTCAAAAATGTTTCCGTTTAAAAATCATGTGAGTTCACTTCAAAAATAATGACATATATGCAAATTATGATACTGCATATACAATCATTAGCCTGATAGGGAACTATCTGTAGAGGTCACAAATGTAATAACGGACTGCGCAATATTTATCAGGGGGGTTGAGCCAAAAAATCAAGAAAGTTAATTATTACCCCACCCCTCGCAAACGAAATAAATTACGCACTGCCCAACCGCCCTCCCTTCCCCCCTTTATTTATTTATTATTCGTGAATATAGAGAATACATGAATATCACACACGTTAAAGTTTCCAAGAAATAAAATACTAATAGCYAGCAATATCAAGAATGCTAGAGTACAAACATTTTAAAAAGCGTGCGACACTTTGCACGATTTACTAAAAAATAGTGCTAATTAAACAATAGAAAACAATAGAATTGGTAGAGTACAAAAACTGGTAGAGTACTAATACTGGGGTCCCTGGAAATAGCGTTACAAGTTACGAAGTTACAAAGTTACGAAGTTACAAGGTTAAATTCTGTTACATTTCTGTCAAGAATATGTCAACACTGAGCCCTACTGCTATTACTAACTATATTTTAATTTTATACTTTTAATCTTATGCGTTAGACTATCTTAGAAAAAAAACTTGTTTTTCCTAAAAACTATGGCTATAAACTAACTAACTATAAGGGAGAGAACCTGGTCCTTTGCTTTGAAAAGTTATAATTATGACTAAGCGGGGGAGGGGTCAGTATGGTTTGAAATGTATGGTTTGAAATGTCCAACCCTGGTCGTATCAACTTACCAAGGCTCGACCTTCCTTCATGTATACAACACAGGGTTCCAAAAGGGTTAGGTTTAGGGTAAGGGATAGGGTTAGGTTATATTGAGGTATATAGAGCGTATAATGAGTGTTGTATACATTGAGAAAGAGCCCGACCTTCGGTGATATGGTCGAAATACAGTGGGTTTTCGTTGTGATAGCGTTGAAGTTTCGAAACGAAATTGCATGTGTGGATGGAGAGTTTCTCTGGCAAAGATAATCCGAGGGAATATTAGCGTGATTCACATTTTCGGAGGAGCTAGAAATTAATTTCTGGCGGTCACTGTGGGGTTGACCTAGCTACCTTCCTTTCGTTTTAGAGTTAGTTTATAGTTATAGTTTTTTTGGACTAAGATAGTCAATTCAGGCATGTCTAACGCATAAAATTCAAGTATATAATAATAATATAGTAATAGTAGAAGGGCTTGTTGACATGTTGTTGACATATTCTTGACAGAAATGTAACAAAATTTAACCTTGTAACTTCGTAACCTTGTAACTTCGTAACTTCGTAACTTTGTAAATTCGTAACTTGTATTTATTTATTTGATTTGAATTGATTTTCGCTCGGCCTTGGCCTAGATTACGGCGCCAAGCGCCGACAAAAACAATAGCGAAGAGAGAAAATATCAAAACTCTGGGACCAGGGTACCGGGGTATCTATTTATCCAAGGGAATTCGGGATACACTCAAGATATACACAAGAAGTCAGATAAGTGAATTTCTACGATACTCAAGTAATATCATTCAAAAACTGTTATGGTTGTCCTGGCGCCCTTGAACAGGCGAATATCCTTTTTCAATGTCGTTTTTTGCAGGTCAAAATTCTCCACTTTAGAACACGGACGAAATTTTTAGTATATCGTAACTACAATCGTTGACAAAATCCTTGGAGTGATGTCATTGATCGTGTCCGGGATCGTGTTACCATAGTAACAAGCATCCAAAAAAACAAGACCCAACATTGATTAAAGGGGGCTAAGGGGGAAAACTGTTAAAAAATAAAGGAGCAAAAATGTTAGGCTGGAGACAAATACTTGTACGGTCCAAAGTATTTTGGCAACGATCATTGTAGAAATATACTATCCACTAGAGATCAAAAGTGTAGTGTATCAAAATGACCACCACAGTACCCCATATTTTACAAGCATGCGCAAAATGATCAGACAAAGCAGCTAATAGTCSACGTTCCATATTCTGGTTGACTGAGTACGCACAAACGACGAACTGTAGACGAGGTTCAAGAGAAACAAAAGAATTATATTCTTCAGAGCTTCGTCTTCAATCAAAATATCAAAAGTCTGATGTTGATTCGTGATCTTCTGTTGCATTGGGTATAAAAAGTTATTTTCCAGTTTTTTCAGAGAGAGGTTCCAAAYCCGAGAAAAGCATAGAATACGAAGGKTTCCATGTAAAACAAACATTAGAACGTAACATGGAAGTGAGGCCTGATGGGACAAGTGTGACTCATGAGATAAAAGAGACAGTAATAATTGGCCAAGGGCCAATACCAGGTCACGTGATGGGATTACTAGCCACAGCCTCAAACAAAGGTAACCCTGGRATGCTTGAAAAGACTGCATAWACAACAATGTTTGTTGAGCTGAATCGTTTTCTTTTATTTCGTAGAAGCTATCAAGAATTCCTAAGGCAACAAGTGATATTAGGGTTATAGTCGACGTGCGAATTTTGCCTCAGTTATTCGTGAAAAGACAATAGTTTTTTACGATTGACTGAACTTTATGCACGGCGCCTTGTCTCAATTCMTTCGTGTTTGACTACTGAGGCAAAATTCGCAAATTGAGGTTTTGAAGACAGCGATTAATATTTATCGAATTGCCCTAGTTCATTATGACGTCACATGAAAACATTTTATTGTTTTAATGCTAAGGATTATGGTCCTCCATGCGCATGTCAGCTTTCTGGACATGAGCTTCCATTTTTTTACAATATGTATATATATTAAAACACGCAGATTCATTGGAGTTTTACTTTAGGTTCCACATTTCCACTGTTTGTGAGCATCCGATGAAAAACATACGACGTCATAATGAATAAGTCGAGTGACTCATTCCAATTCAAATGATCAAATGATTAACATAGAARCTGAGACTGAAAGGAGGCATGGGATACAATAATTGAATCTAATGACTAACTAAAGTTGCAACCTCAGTTTTCATCGATGATTGATTCAGAATGATACAAGTCAATGATTTACAGCTACAACAATGTGATGTCCCATATATCCTTTTGGTCTTCGCTTCTGTGATCATCATTTTTTGGAACATGACAACGATTGTACAATAGGTGATTTTCACAATGATGTCATATACTACGACTACCAGAATACTTTGCCCATTTTCTTCTCTCCGAATATAATTAGTCGCAGTGCAACAAAACAAAGATAACAATGCTACTGAGAGAATGTAAATTATAAATTTTCTGTTAACAGAATTTCATAAAATATAAAAAAAAAATCAATCAGTGTTGCTTTCAATGTTGATTTCAATACAGCGCGCATTAGTAATGTAACGTTCCAAACAATCATGCGTCAACAATGTGACTGTAGAAAGGCTCGCGCGCATTAGCAAGAATCATATCAGGGTCCGTGCAGAGTATCAACAACGAAATTTAAGGGCTTTTCAAGGTCTTTTCCAGGACCAAAATTGTATTTTCAAGGAGCATCAAAATCATGCTAATTGTACATTCTTACCTCAAAACTTCAGCCGAACGGAATAATTCAGAAATTGCTAGCGCTTCGTGATAGAGATCCTCTTTTTTAAGTAGTTTTCAAGGACTTTTTCGAAATTTTCAAAATTTTCGTGCCCTTGAAAACGAGTTTTTCCGAAGCACTTTTCAAGGATTTAAGGACCTGCACGGACCCTACATATGTCAACATTGCCACTGGAGACTGCCTCGCCATGAAACGTGTTAAAAAGAACGATCTGCAAACTTGTCTCGGGTAGGAAGGTAGCCCATTCAATTGACCAGGAACAACCTTTTTTCATGTAAACAGGGTCTTAACAATGTTAGACTACGTCTCCCTGACATTTAGTTAATTAATAATAGATTTTGTAACAATTTTAATTGATTCGTCAGCA